TGGCGCACCCCCTAACATACTTTTTTTTTTTTTTTACTGTAATTTAAAAAGAGATAAAACTATTTTTTAAAACATCTCTAATTGATGATTTTCCTGATCCCCCCACTGATATCTCCCCTGCGCAATGATGAGAGAAAGCAGGGGAAGAATCCACAGAAGCGGGCACCAGGTGGAAAAACGTTTTTTATAAGTAAATTCTTTTGTTGTAAATGCTCTTTACTATTTAAATGTCTGTTTTTGTCTTTTATTATTTAAATATTTAGGCTATTTATTAAAGGGAAAGTAAATAAAAAAGTAAAAAAAAAATGTTCAATTGTAATTATGTATCATGCTTTTTAATCATTAAAAGTACAGGCTGTGTTATTATACCGTGTGATAAATTGTATATGCCGCTCTATTATACCGTGTGATATACTGTATAGACCACGGTATTATACTGTGTGAGCCAGCCCGACCCTCGACTTGGAGCATTTTTTAAATTTTGGCCCACTGTGTATTTGAGTTTGACACCCCTGTTCTAGATGCATCAAAACTGTTCTAGAACACTTAAAGACCAGGTGTTTAGACCCCCTTCCTGGCCATTTTTCAGTATTCAGCGCTGCAGTACTTTGACTGACGTTTATTCCGTCATGCAACGCTGTACTGAAATTAATTTTATACCATTTTTTGGTGACAGAGCTTTATTTTGGGGGTATTTAATCACCAATGGGGTTTTTATTTTTTATTATAATTAGGAAAAATTACAGAAAATGTTGAAAAAAAAGGTTTTTTTTAACATTATGTTAGGAAACATTTATTATTACCCAGTTTTTTGGTAAAATATAAAAGATCGGGTCACGTCGGGTAAATAGACACCAAACATGTCAAGCTTTAAGATCGCGCGCACCCGCAGAAAACTACCATACCCAAAATTGGCTATAGGCAACACTTTAAAAGCTTTTACCGCTCATCAGTTTAGTGTTATCAGTGATTGATGGCCCTAGACTTATTGCTCTCACTCGGACGTTCACGGCGATATGTAACATGTGCGGCGTAATGGGCGCAATCGTCTTTTTTTGCACATATGCGCCCCCGATGCATGTTTGCATGCGTGTATGTATGGGTGGGGATTTTATTCTTTTTTATGTGTAACTTTAAACTTGGGGGGAACTTAAATTTTTTTCCCCCCACTAAACTTTATTGCTATCACATACGGGGGCTAATAAACCCCCCCTATGTGATAGCAAAATATGTGACAGGTACTCTTTATGGAGACATCAGGGGTCTCCAAGACCCCTAATGTCACCTAGGACCCCCCAAAAGAAGCTGATGAAGCAGAGATCTGCTCCATCAGCTTCTTTCCAGCTTCTGAAGCTAGAGAGTGACACAAGAATGCAGAAGTGATGTATTATACAACACTTCCGCATTCTTGCAGTGGAGAGGGGACCGGAGGGACCTCTGATCCCCTGTGACACAGGGGACATGCTGATCCCGGGCACGGAGGGGGGGATCGCTCGTATGGTAACAGGCATCGCTGCCTGTTTTAAAAAAACGGCAATTTCCCGCTCGCGCGCCGAGGGGGCGTGTCTGAGCGGACGTCTAAAGACGCCCGCTCAGATCTAGAGAGCTCTGGGCCGACCGTTTTTCTACTACGGCCGGCCCGGAGGCAGTTAAAGAAACAGATAAAGTAGGCAGGGAGCAACAGGACTTCTGTGTATAGCCATATGAAGGGACAGAATGTAGTCATGTCCCAGCTGACAAAATGGATTCCTCCGCTGTGTACAGTGACAGTTCCACTTAAAAAGAACACTAATATAAAAGTTTATGTTTAAATTGTTATATTGATAGATTTTTTTCAAATTCGTTTTATTTTGAAGTAAACTTTTTTAAGTGTCCAGTCAAGATTTGTCAACATTCCCATAGCTGGCTGACAATGGGGTTGATTTACAACTTAGTATGGCTGCATTCACTTCAAACACCCAATCACATGCAAAGGAAATTTAAAAAATACGATTGGGTGTTCAAAGTGGAGATTCACTTGACTAGGTGAAAATGTGCTTCTCTAGTAAATCAATCCCAATAAGTCCATCGCAAATACACACACAAGTGCAGTAAAGTGCAGTGTTGCCGCTGACTGGTGCACAAGGCTTTATTCATTCGTTTTATTACAGGTCATCTCTGGCATTATTGTGAATTCTCTGGACAATGGAATGTGGACCTCTAGCTAAATTTTAAAGGACACATCATGGCTGCTCACTATGAAAATATATCAATAAAGAAATAATGCTGAAACAGTTAAAAAATAATCTGTGTGGATCATAAACTTTGATATATTTCTTACTTTTCTCTAAGGATATAGAGCTATAGTGATAAGAGCAATATTAAAATATTCTTTTCCAAGAGGGTTGTGATCTAGTTCTTTTGAGTCATCGTATCTGCTTCTTTAACAGCAGAGTAGAAACCAAACACAATACATACATACAAACAAAAAATAAAATTAAAATAAAGGCAGAATCTTTTCCTGATTTACTGATTATAGAGTTACAGCGCCTTCTTATTTTCTAGAACAGGCTGCCCACATTAAAAATAGCTTACATTCAACTCTCAAAATTTTTCTTAAAATACTGCAATCACTAATATTGTCTTTACAAGAGAAAAAAAAAACATTTCTAACACTTAAGTATACTATTCATGTATAACAGCTGTTCTTGTTTGATATCCATAATTCAGCAACAACATACTTTGTGTGACAAATGTGCAACATAGAAACATGAAATATTTGGTACAATAGTGCTCAAAATAAACCTTTAACTAAATTACGTATTAAATGTACAGACATTACCATGTAAATCAACAACTGTAACCTACTGTAAAAGTAAACATCAAAAATCAGTTTCATCCATAGGTATTTTTTTTTTTTTTTTAGTTTTTTTTTCTCATAAGCGACAACTCTTTCTAACTTTTCTGACATAAAATATGCTTTAAACACATTTTCTTTAGTCTTTTTTTTTGCTGTAATCCTGTTACAACTCTCAATCCAATTATAAAAAAGTATAACACTATAGACCCTGTATTCAACCACATCTGCGGTATAGACATCTGTGTTTTCCGCAAGGTGATGTTTCCATAGTTGAATATAAGAAAAGCCTGCAATGCATTGCTCTGCAGTGTTTTGCTAGCCTTTTCGTGCTCTGAACTGGGTCAAAATAAAACTCTCACTACATTTTAAAAATGTAAATGTTATATAGATTAGAGTCACACTTATGTTGTGACTGACAGATATATATTTATATATATATATTTATATTTTTTTTTGTACATTCGATTAAGAAAACTCCTCCTCAGATGCCTTGTATGTGTAACCTGTATACCCAACATGCTATATGTATAGATATTTTGACTGTGTAATGGACATTTGTGGGTAGCTGGGAGGTTGGCATCGGTCGCATACTTTTTGCGTTTGTTGTACTGTGGCAAAGTTTAGGCACTTCTGCAAAGTCTTAATAAAATAAAATAGAAAACAAACATATGTTCATAAAGGAAACAAAAATATTCACTTTCCAGTATATGACAGTTATACTGTGCAATTGTTTCCTGTTCTGTATTTTTTGCTTTTTTAAATCCCACCAATCCTGGGTATGTTACTGATTTGTAAGCTTTAACTTTGTGCTTTAAAATAAGCCTATTTTTATATTTGAGAGTGCTTTTCTTCTTGGTCTTCTCTACAGAGGGGAGACTTGTAAAATCCTATATTAATGGCTAAAATACACTCTAATATGTTAATATTCACAATCTATCATTCTATATTAGCTGTCAGAAACAAAACTTTGTACATTTTAAATGTTTTGCAGCATTTAAAATATACTATATGACAGGGGACTAATCCCTGTGATTCTGATGTGACAGGAGATAAGACAATGTTGTCGAGTGGGAACCAGGTATACAAAATATTAAAAAGTAAACTTTACCCACTAACATCACAGCTGGTATCAGGTAGTTAACTATTTTTATGTTGGAATATATTAAGCATACCATATATAATTTAAAATATAGCAGCACTAGCTTTCTAAGAATTTGTAGTTTGTCCATGAAGAGAACAAGATCCTTTTTTTTTAGCATGCAGTTTGTGGCAACTCTATAGAGGAGGAGACGGGATAGTATGTACAGTATGAATGTTTTGCTATCTTCTGTGAGTCTTCTTGATGTTCTGTTCCGCTCTTGGTGATTATTTCAGTATGATCTGATAAAGGAAAAAAGAAAGCTGAGAGTTACATTTTCCTTGTCACAGACATAAAAAGTAACACAGAGAACTTACAATAGTTCCAGAGGAACTTTGAACACCTAAAGAATAGTAAAAGAGTTAAAAATACTGAACAGTGCTTGTTACTAAGGACTATTTCATAACTAGTGTCCTTATGCCAAAGGTTATTACATTGCAATATAACTAAAAACAACTTTAGGTAGGCACATACAAATTTACGTATGCATTCATTTAAAATCATTTGTTTTCCTGAAATCTGTTTATATATTGTGATATCACATGGCACCTGAAAGTTGAAATCAGACGGGAGAATTTCTCTTTGAACCTGTGGCCAGATTATGCACGCTAAACTATTTACATATTCTGAGCAAGCAGTAAATGCACTTTCAAATGAGCCCTAATTAACCTCTGTAACTATAGGTCTTAAGAAGAAATTCATTTTTACATTTCACAAAGGAGGCTCTGAAACCTTAGCTTTTTTCTATGAGAGCAGATCTTGGCAGATGGTCACAACAGGCAGGTGTTTCTAAGCTGTTAAAATCCAACTGAAACCTGTAGGGCTTGGTTGAACCATTGGCTCCTACCAGAGAAATTCAAACTTTGCTGGAATTACTGCTTTATTATGCTTGCAAAGCCATTGTTTTAAGATAGAAAAATGGAACCGCCCATGCTTTTTCTTGGAAGACATTGGTCAACAATGCATTGCCACATTACAAGGTGATATATGACGGCAGGGGCTGTCCAGCAAAATTTTTGGACATTTTGGCTTGATTCTCATCAGACAGTATAAACTGGCCTCTTAGCATTACCCTGGCCAAAGCAATATATTTTGCAGCCTAACATATGGGATTACATTATGCATACTCACATTATATATTTGTTGATGGGGTGTAAAGTTCTTTTTGCTGTTTGTTTATGTTGCAAGCTGTATATCTAGGTGTGGATTTCACACCAGACAGTTAGCTGGTAACTTTGTTTAAAATTGTAAAACTTCAATAAATAGAAGTAAAAAAAAAATACTGAAACCCGACTTCTGATCTTTGAAAAGTAATTATTTCACAATACATGCAGCTAGAGGGATGATAAATGGCTTGTTTTAAAGTTTTTTTTTTACAGCTTATTAAGAATATGTAAGTAGTGTAATGTCCGCAGACCAGGCACATGTCCACTTTGCAGTATATGTAAAGTCTATTTTTCGGTATGTTTGGCAGAATGCCTTACTGTAAACAGTTATGTCTTTATTTATTTAAATATGTTGTAAGGTTTCAGGTCTGTCATATAGGCAGCCTAACTGCCAACTAAAGGAGGTTCCATGGCAGGCTGACAACGCTGCTGCTAATTGCGAGTCAGTGGGGTTGATTTACTAACCTTATAAACACACCACGAACATGTATACACCTCTGTAGTGTGTTCCCTCCCAGCATGATCTATGGGTGGAATCGAAACACCTTTGTAGTGTGTACACACCCAGCAGGTGTGTTGTGCAAAGCCAAGCATGAATTGCAAGGTGATGTTGTGTAAATTAGCTCTATGTTGTGTTGCTTGCGTTGATGAATGCAGGAATGTAAATGCATGAGCTAACCATTTTTGTCTAAACTGTGAAGCAGCATTATATATGCATCATGTGCATGATTTTTCCATATATGGCATTAGTGGAAATATGCTTTTAGAGACTTTTTGGTTGATAAATACGTTTTGCTGTGTGAAAATCACACGCACCTGGTGCGTGCGTGTGTTTAGGTTAGTAAATCACCCCCAGTGCCCCAGCGTTGTCAGCCTGCAACAGGTGATCTTACTGACAGGATCTCCAGGTAAGAAAGTTTGCAGTAGACTCTCAAAAATGATTTTACAGTGAGGCATAATGCCAAACATATTGAAAAATTGATTTAGGGTTTACATACTGTACACTCTAAGCCAAGCAGAGAGACAGTGAGCTTACAAGCGTGAGTGCTCAAGGTGACTGCCACAGTGTGGTGATGCTCACTAATGGTTTAATCATTACCAGGAGGTGGGATAGTGATCTCACTAATGGTTTAATCATTACCAGGAGGTGGGATAGTGATCTCACTAATGGTTTAATCATTACCAGGAGGTGGGATAGTGATCTCACTAATGGTTTAATCATTACCAGGAGGTGGGATAGTGATATGCAGTCTGCAAAACTAAAGTGTATGTCGCCTTCCTTATGGTATGCAGCCATATAGCTTCACAGAGGTAGAACTTAATGGAATATGTCAATACCAATACAACATTTGGAAGGAAAAAAAAGTTAATGTATTTGTGTTATAAATGTATATTTATTCATGTAAGAGGAGTTTCCTGTAAACTATAAAATACTTACTGTGAGTACGTAGGAGAAATGATAAGAAATGGGTTACAGACTTTTGTTAGGTTTCATTTTACATTTCATAAGGCTTTCATATGTATCCAAACTCATGAAGCTAAGAACTAAGTGGTAGTTGATGAGCAGTCACATGCCCTGCTCCATTCTTCTATTTGTTGCATCTGTTAGATATTGCATATTGAGTCAAGGAAAAATTCATACTGCATGGAAAATGTAAAGTGCACATATTTATAATGTCCACAGGGCTGCATTTACCATTAGGCACAGAAGGTATGTGCCTGTAGGCACCAGAGACAAACAATGATTTTAAAATAGGGGATCCATTTAAAAGGTGGTGTTGATTGGGAACCAAAGGCTGCACGCTTCCAGGTTCCAATGATGGAAATTCATCCCTGAACATCTAACAGAACAGATATATATGTGGATTGTGCAGCCCCAGTCTACCCCTTTTCTCCTCCAAGCACAACAGTAAAGTCAGTATTTTACCCATATCATATGTCTTTATTATTAGAACTAAGACTGCATTCTCAGATAAGATTATTATGAAGAGATTCAGTTATATAAAACTAAAGTGTCTAGAATGACATTAAACTAAATCAATTATTACGTTCTTTGGTGGAGACAATGGCTGTACTTTACTAATTATCTGGTTCAATGATTCTGATGAGCAAAATATGTAAAGCCACGTGTCATGGTCTTGGGTTTTATAGCAGATGTAAAGGGAACTGCTAAGGAATCTGTCTTCAAAACCTAAAACTGTAATACTGCATTCATTATGCATCTGTCATATTTCATTTTTATAATAAAACTATTTCTCATGCTAGAAACTCATTTATGTGCCTGCTCTTGTAAGCTTTATACAGGGTAAATACATACATTCTATAGCCCTCTGCAGTAAAGTGCTCACGTCAATAAGTACAATCACTAACTAAAAGACACATTTTGGCACTTTGGTGTTTAAGAGCGAAAAATCAGAACTGGTCCTCAGTTAAGGATATCTTTCACATGGTGAACAGCAACAAAAACATAAGGTGGATTGATAGCACACAGAAAGCAAAGCTGTTTTAGAAAGTAATGAATAAAGTACATTCTTTTTCTGTTCAGACCAGTGTAGAGCTTGCACGTGTATACGAGACAAAATATTTCAGGTCGTAAATATTAAATTTTTACTTATTTGTTTGTAAACAGAATAAAAGTATCACACAATGACTATCTTGTAACCTAGCATTATCTTCATCTTATTTTTTTCCAGGGCCTGGAAGGGTGAGGCGAGCGAGGCACTCGCCTCGGGCGCAGCCAAGGCCAGACTTGGACCTGTTGAACCTGGCGCCCAGTGGGGGTAAGAGGTGGGCGGGTGCTTTGGGATTTGGATGCAGTGCTGATCTCCTCACATTACCATCTCACTCACATGCAGCTCTGACGCTTATTGGCTGGTTCCCAGGTGTGGAGGGAACTGAGGACAGCTGCACTGCTGATCTCCTCACTCATTGGCTGATGCACAGAGTTCCCAGCTGGCAATTGGCTGTCAGCTAATGCTGCTTAAAGCCAGTTGAAAACTCCATGCACTAGCCAAAAGGAGCATTACACCTTTGACCCTCACATGACCCCTCCCTCTATACCCCGCACACGAAACTCCTAGTAGCCAGCAGGTTGTGCTGGAGTCTGCTCCAGAGAACAGCAGCCTGTACCCAGTACAGATACAGGCAGCTCATTGTTCTCTATGACAGACTTTGAATATTCTGGTATTTGGAGTTGCTGCCTACCACCATTCAAGGCAGTGAATATGACAATGATCTGAGGGTTGTGTTCACATATATACACGTAATGTGTGCAGTGCTTGAAAGAATATGTTCATCCTAGTGAAAAGAAGGAACTGTTATATTGCGCCTCATACCTGATTGATCGGTTTTAGGGTGAGGGCTGAAATCTATAGCTGTTTTATATGGAGAACATCACACTTCCTCAGGGCAAGATACATAATGGACATACATTTCTAGATTTCTCCTCCTTAAAAAAATGCACTTGAAGCTAATGTAGTGAGTGTTGTGGTGTGATCACTGAACGTTTTCTACAATCTACTACAGCACAAGACACTGAGTGCCCTGAATACAGGTAGACTAAACTACTTGTTGTGTATTTGTTTTGTTGCATATCTCACCACTTTACTGTTGTGTACCAGTGTGGCTATAGCAAAACTCCAGTTTTTTGTCCAGCAATGAATATCCAAATTGCTGGAAAAGATAGACAGGTCAGAAGTCTAGTGGTAGGCTTGTCAGGGTGTTGCTCTAGAGTTAGCGAGTTGGATGTCAATTGACCCATTTAGTTAAAATGCCAAACTGGAAAGCTGGTCTTGTACCTTAGTTATAAAATACAATAGTTCTCTATAAGAACTACTTTATTTCACTGGTCACATTTCAGTCCACCAAATATTAAAATTAAGAGTGGGATGGGGATCCCCCAATCATTTACACTGTGGGAGAATCTACAAAGAGGGACCCCAATTAAAAGGGGAATATGATTTTCCAGGCATCCCAATAGTTTGTATATAGTATTTTTAAAATATTTATTTTGCTTGAACATCTTCACTGTCTGACTACAAGTCAGGTATTCTGCATTGACAATGTAATAACATGTA